ACTTATTTTGTATTCATATACTTATTTTGTATTAATAAACTTATTTTGTATTAATAAACTTATTTTGTATTAATAAACTTATTTTGTATTAATAAACTTATTTTGTATTAATAAACTTATTTTGTATTAATAAACTTATTTTGTATTAATATACTTATTTTGTATTAATAAACTTATTTTGTATTAATAAACTTATTTTGTATTCATAAACTTATTTTGTATTAATAAACTTATTTTGTATTAATAAACTTATTTTGTATTAATAAACTTATTTTGTATTAATAAACTTATTTTGTATTAATAAACTTATTTTGTATTAATAAACTTATTTTGTATTAATAAACTTATTTTGTATTAATAAACTTATTTTGTATTAATAAACTTATTTTGTATTAATAAACTTATTTTGTATTAATAAACTTATTTTGTATTAATAAACTTATTTTGTATTAATAAACTTATTTTGTATTAATAAACTTATTTTGTATTAATAAACTTATTTTGTATTAATAAACTTATTTTGTATTAATAAACTTATTTTGTATTAATAAACTTATTTTGTATTAATAAACTTATTTTGTATTAATAAACTTATTTTGTATTAATAAACTTATTTTGTATTAATAAACTTATTTTGTATTAATAAACTTATTTTGTATTAATAAACTTATTTTGTATTAATAAACTTATTTTGTATTAATAAACTTATTTTGTATTAATAAACTTATTTTGTATTAATAAACTTATTTTGTATTAATAAACTTATTTTGTATTAATAAACTTATTTTGTATTAATAAACTTATTTTGTATTAATAAACTTATTTTGTATTAATAAACTTATTTTGTATTAATAAACTTATTTTGTATTAATAAACTTATTTTGTATTAATAAACTTATTTTGTATTAATAAACTTATTTTGTATTAATAAACTTATTTTGTATTAATAAACTTATTTTGTATTAATAAACTTATTTTGTATTAATAAACTTATTTTGTATTAATAAACTTATTTTGTATTAATAAACTTATTTTGTATTAATAAACTTATTTTGTATTAATAAACTTATTTTGTATTAATAAACTTATTTTGTATTAATAAACTTATTTTGTATTAATAAACTTATTTTGTATTAATAAACTTATTTTGTATTAATAAACTTATTTTGTATTAATAAACTTATTTTGTATTAATAAACTTATTTTGTATTAATAAACTTATTTTGTATTAATAAACTTATTTTGTATTAATAAACTTATTTTGTATTAATAAACTTATTTTGTATTAATAAACTTATTTTGTATTAATAAACTTATTTTGTATTAATAAACTTATTTTGTATTAATAAACTTATTTTGTATTAATAAACTTATTTTGTATTAATAAACTTATTTTGTATTAATAAACTTATTTTGTATTAATAAACTTATTTTGTATTAATAAACTTATTTTGTATTAATAAACTTATTTTGTATTAATAAACTTATTTTGTATTAATAAACTTATTTTGTATTAATAAACTTATTTTGTATTAATAAACTTATTTTGTATTAATAAACTTATTTTGTATTAATAAACTTATTTTGTATTAATAAACTTATTTTGTATTAATAAACTTATTTTGTATTAATAAACTTATTTTGTATTAATAAACTTATTTTGTATTAATAAACTTATTTTGTATTAATAAACTTATTTTGTATTAATAAACTTATTTTGTATTAATAAACTTATTTTGTATTAATAAACTTATTTTGTATTAATAAACTTATTTTGTATTAATAAACTTATTTTGTATTAATAAACTTATTTTGTATTAATAAACTTATTTTGTATTAATAAACTTATTTTGTATTAATAAACTTATTTTGTATTAATAAACTTATTTTGTATTAATAAACTTATTTTGTATTAATAAACTTATTTTGTATTAATAAACTTATTTTGTATTAATAAACTTATTTTGTATTAATAAACTTATTTTGTATTAATAAACTTATTTTGTATTAATAAACTTATTTTGTATTAATAAACTTATTTTGTATTAATAAACTTATTTTGTATTAATAAACTTATTTTGTATTAATAAACTTATTTTGTATTAATAAACTTATTTTGTATTAATAAACTTATTTTGTATTAATAAACTTATTTTGTATTAATAAACTTATTTTGTATTAATAAACTTATTTTGTATTAATAAACTTATTTTGTATTAATAAACTTATTTTGTATTAATAAACTTATTTTGTATTAATAAACTTATTTTGTATTAATAAACTTATTTTGTATTAATAAACTTATTTTGTATTAATAAACTTATTTTGTATTAATAAACTTATTTTGTATTAATAAACTTATTTTGTATTAATAAACTTATTTTGTATTAATAAACTTATTTTGTATTAATAAACTTATTTTGTATTAATAAACTTATTTTGTATTAATAAACTTATTTTGTATTAATAAACTTATTTTGTATTAATAAACTTATTTTGTATTAATAAACTTATTTTGTATTAATAAACTTATTTTGTATTAATAAACTTATTTTGTATTAATAAACTTATTTTGTATTAATAAACTTATTTTGTATTAATAAACTTATTTTGTATTAATAAACTTATTTTGTATTAATAAACTTATTTTGTATTAATAAACTTATTTTGTATTAATAAACTTATTTTGTATTAATAAACTTATTTTGTATTAATAAACTTATTTTGTATTAATAAACTTATTTTGTATTAATAAACTTATTTTGTATTAATAAACTTATTTTGTATTAATAAACTTATTTTGTATTAATAAACTTATTTTGTATTAATAAACTTATTTTGTATTAATAAACTTATTTTGTATTAATAAACTTATTTTGTATTAATAAACTTATTTTGTATTAATAAACTTATTTTGTATTAATAAACTTATTTTGTATTAATAAACTTATTTTGTATTAATAAACTTATTTTGTATTAATAAACTTATTTTGTATTAATAAACTTATTTTGTATTAATAAACTTATTTTGTATTAATAAACTTATTTTGTATTAATAAACTTATTTTGTATTAATAAACTTATTTTGTATTAATAAACTTATTTTGTATTAATAAACTTATTTTGTATTAATAAACTTATTTTGTATTAATAAACTTATTTTGTATTAATAAACTTATTTTGTATTAATAAACTTATTTTGTATTAATAAACTTATTTTGTATTAATAAACTTATTTTGTATTAATAAACTTATTTTGTATTAATAAACTTATTTTGTATTAATAAACTTATTTTGTATTAATAAACTTATTTTGTATTAATAAACTTATTTTGTATTAATAAACTTATTTTGTATTAATAAACTTATTTTGTATTAATAAACTTATTTTGTATTAATAAACTTATTTTGTATTAATAAACTTATTTTGTATTAATAAACTTATTTTGTATTAATAAACTTATTTTGTATTAATAAACTTATTTTGTATTAATAAACTTATTTTGTATTAATAAACTTATTTTGTATTAATAAACTTATTTTGTATTAATAAACTTATTTTGTATTAATAAACTTATTTTGTATTAATAAACTTATTTTGTATTAATAAACTTATTTTGTATTAATAAACTTATTTTGTATTAATAAACTTATTTTGTATTAATAAACTTATTTTGTATTAATAAACTTATTTTGTATTAATAAACTTATTTTGTATTAATAAACTTATTTTGTATTAATAAACTTATTTTGTATTAATAAACTTATTTTGTATTAATAAACTTATTTTGTATTAATAAACTTATTTTGTATTAATAAACTTATTTTGTATTAATAAACTTATTTTGTATTAATAAACTTATTTTGTATTAATAAACTTATTTTGTATTAATAAACTTATTTTGTATTAATAAACTTATTTTGTATTAATATACTTATTTTGTATTAATAAACTTATTTTGTATTAATAAACTTATTTTGTATTAATAAACTTATTTTGTATTAATAAACTTATTTTGTATTAATAAACTTATTTTGTATTAATAAACTTATTTTGTATTAATAAACTTATTTTGTATTAATAAACTTATTTTGTATTAATAAACTTATTTTGTATTAATAAACTTATTTTGTATTAATAAACTTATTTTGTATTAATAAACTTATTTTGTATTAATATACTTATTTTGTATTAATAAACTTATTTTGTATTAATAAACTTATTTTGTATTAATAAACTTATTTTGTATTAATAAACTTATTTTGTATTAATAAACTTATTTTGTATTAATAAACTTATTTTGTATTAATAAACTTATTTTGTATTAATAAACTTATTTTGTATTAATAAACTTATTTTGTATTAATAAACTTATTTTGTATTAATAAACTTATTTACATTAAAATTAAGGCTACAACATTGAGTTTTCAGAAATCAATATGAACCAGGGATGCGAAGTTTCATTGATTTTTCGGGACTCCGGGACTCTGGACTCCGATGACAAAAATCATGGACCCCATGGACTGCGACTCCGGACTACGGAATTTCTTATTTTTTTCTTAAATTAAGTATGGTTTTTTTTTATCTGGAATTTTTACGTGAAAATGCCGGAAAATTGATAGGCTACCATTAATATCGCAGAGCCCCGCGGAAAAGCAATTAACAGGAAATTCAGACTTCCTTTCTAACCAATGTCGCAAAATTTGCCTAAATAGGGTTTGAATCACGGATCCCTTGTTTTTTAGGCAAGTGCCACGGTTGCTTAAACCAGAAGTTAATTTGTCCCGTATTTGCTGGATAGTAAAATTAATGAAAATAATACAACTCCAAAGAGAACTTTTATTTGATTTGTATTGTCACACGCACAGATTTATCAATTTCTCAGATTATTTTAAACCATATAATCATAAAATTATAAAAAGATTAAAACTTATATTTTCATTAACTACGCGCTAAATTATAAAGTTACAAGAAAACATTATTGCAATATCTACATCAAAAATATTCAAATAAAAAATTGGTTTGTTCGTAAAAAAAGCATATCGTCAATTTACTCAGATGTAAATCGACTACGATGGTCTAGAGTCATGTGCTTTAAGACTGAAAATAGTCGCTCAACACTGACTTGGGATATGGGTAGCGACAAAGCGACTCGGCAGGCATCCCGTAAAACTTCAGGAAACTGCTGAATTGTTTTTAATGGGTTAAGTTTTAAAAACTCGTCTAAGTTGGGGGAGTTGTCTTTAAATATTGAACGAATTTCCGGAATCGTTTTTAGAGCTTGTCGAAACTCCGTTTGTATTACATTTAGCTGAATCTACATTTGTTCTTCTGAAGAATTCTCTTCAATCTCCTGTTCACACAGCATAAATAAATTCGGTCGTCGCTTTGCGACTGGTGAAGCATTTTCCTCATTTTCTGAACTAGAGTCTGCAATATGAACTGTTACAGAGTTGGACGCTATTTTTTTTTTGGTTTTGTTCAGTTCATCATTCTTATTTTTATTAGCCAGTTGAATCAGTTTGTAATTAATTTTCCAAAGTCCATCAGCTGCAGCTATCTATAGAAACATTTATAGTTTTTTGAATATATACTTTTTAAAGTTAAATAAATAAAATGTATATATATAAATAAAATTTTATTAAAAAAAGCAACCTTGTCTTCAGTCGCTGTCAGCATACAGCCATGCCTAATATCCACGTAAACTGCTGCAAGAAACAACGAATTTTCGCGTAGTGCGCTCTCTCTATTATCCATTCTTTTCCGGAAATCTTTAGCTAAGTCGCTGTCCTTCCCGTCTAGTTTACACTTTATTGAATTCCAATCAAAAAGGAATTCACCTGTTTTTGATGTTCTGATGTTTTCACGCTGAAGACGAATAGTAAGATCGCGTGCCATTTGCAATATATCTCTCAATTCCTCCCACGTTCCCCAAAGATATGGTTGCAAATTAAATTCTTTTGGAGCTTCTTTTTGCATATTCAAATTTTGAATTACTGGTCGAATCTAGAAGAACAGAAAAATTCATTAAATATATGTACAATGTTATTAACTACTTAAATGAAGAGGATTATTAAAGAAATATTTACATAAACGTAAATTTAAAAATTATTAAGTTTTTTTTTAAAGAAATATTTACATAAACGTAAATTTATTAAATTATTAATTATTTATAAAATTATTAATGTAAATTTCATTAATATTAAAATAATTGGATTTATATTATACCAGTTGGAAAAAAAAAAAGAAAAAATACCGGTTGATAAAAAAATAAAAATAGTTTTATAAACTTTATTCAAAACTCTTTAAGTTTTAATTAAAGTTAAAAAAATTAATTAAGGTAAGTTATAAGTTATAACATACCTTAATTAGCCTCTCATTCATATTGAACTGGCTAGACCAACAAGTAGCCTGATCTAAAATTGGAACAAGATGTGTAGCTTGGTCCCTGAAGAAGTCAATCCACTTAGAATTTCTTGCAGTTTTCACAACTTCTCTCGCATGACTAATAAGATTTTTTATTGTGGGCCTCTTCAATGCATCATTCACGGCTAACTGTAAAGTGTGGACAGCACATCTTTGAAGATGTATAACACTCATGCTACCGGCAACTCCACTTGCCAAGACTGCTGCTGCATTGTCCGCTGTAGAATTACCATTTTCGTCAAACTCATCAGTTTTTACTGAAAAATCGCCTTCGTCACCGTCAATTTCCTCAATGGCGCTGATGCCGAAGTCGCGCACCAACTTTATATTCACCTAAATATATTAAATACGATTTCAATAGTTAATTTAAAATTTAGTAAATATACGTTACAGTATATAAAAGATTTTATTGACATTTTAACAAACATCAAAACAGTTTATTTTTTTAATTTTTTTAATTCACTGAAAATATTGATTTTAATCATTGAATTTACACTTTTTCTTCATTTAAAAAAAATATAGATGAATTTCAAAATATGATACTTACTGCCGCGTTGTCAACACTGAGGCCTAAAATATTCCCAACGGGCATTTGTTGGTTTAAAATTGGTTTAGATCACGTCTAAATGGCATTTACGTCGATCTAAACGTTTAGGAATCTATTCTAAACGCGTTCGGAATATTTAATTTGCGTTGAAAAACTAAATCAAACAATTTCCGTGCGGAACTAACTTAATTCACACATAATGTGTCGGACTTTTTGAAACTTTCATTATGATTAAAAATTAGAATTTCTTATGAATCTTAAATTATGTAATAAATAGTTTAGAAGAGATAAAAGAAATTTGTTTTTAGTATTATATTGTGGTTAACGAAGCAGCTAAAAAGTCCTGTAAGTTTTTCGATAATATTGTATAAGCGATTAAAAGTAATTTTAAGTACAGTTACAATGTATTTTGATAACTCTTTATTTATTTATTGCTACTAAATAAAGCAGTTTCAAAAAAATCAGTTTCAGCATTTTTTTTTTAACATTTCTAAAATTGTTTTTTCTATTTGGTTTTTAACAACGCTATAGAACGTCTATAGTTAGCTTCCTAACTTTTCTACTTTTACTAAAAGTAGAAAAATTATGAAAAATAGTTACCACTTAAAAAGCATAAATTTTCTCTATAAGTTTTAGAGAAAAATTATGCATTTTAAGTGGTAACTACTTTTTAAATAACTAAATAAAATTATTATTGTTTGTTTATATTAAGACCTAACATCTATTTGTTTATGATAGATGTTATATTGATCAAATAGCAATGTGCCAATCAAAAATTACGAGGTTCAAATATTTATATAATGGATCTTCAGTTTTAGTGTAGGCTTTTAGTGTAAACTAAAAAATATTTTTAAAAGTTTAGTTATTATTCATACATATGATGGTTATCATATGTATGAATAATAATTAATATTCTAAGGAGAAAATAAATTTACTTACCTCTGATATGATAGATTATTATATTGTATCATTTATTTTATCTTTAGTAAAGAAGTTAACATGTTTCGAACAATAATATAGTTATATTACATAGCATGGCCTTCTAGAAATACAGGCCTTGACATCGCGATAAAATATTTTTTGACTAAAGGCCAATTCTATATGGAAAGATTTTCATGGAATAAAACATTTTTGAATTATACTTAACAGCAATTGGTCTAAACACAAAGTTTATGCGACTTTGTAGCGTTAATTAGTCTGCAACGAAAAAAATTAGGAGTTAAAAGTTTATCTTTTTGTAAATTGCAACACATTTATCAAACAAAAATTTATCAATTATGCCTCAAAAATGTTGTGTTCCATGCTGTAATAGTGGTTATGCTTCATCAACTATAAAGGTGTCCGCTTATTGATTTCCTTGTGATGAATATGAAAAAGAAAAGTGGATAAAAGCTTTCCAAAGAAAAAATCTGATTGTAAATAAATACACTGTGGTGTGCCGACTTCATTGGCCTATAGATTGCAAATCTTTTACATTTATCGTGGAAAAGAACGTCCTACAGAACCACCAACTGTCTTTTCTAACATACCAGCTAGCTGTCTTAGTTTACATACTTCTAAACCCAGAACAACAAAATTGTCATCATCCAGTATAAGAAATACAAAATCAGACGAACTAGATAGCTTTAGAGAACATGATTTTTTTCGATTTGATAGCATAAAAGAAAGACTCTTTCATAGTAATGATAATGAAAACACATTTTTGTTGTTTGATTTTTATGTTCATGTCATGAAGTGTGTTCGTAATAACTGGTTAACTGAAAAAAGCGGAGAACTAGTTTTTGAGTTTAAAGGTAACAAACATGTAGCAAAATGGAGTGATTTAGTAAATTTTTATGAGTTGGAGTCTGCCAATCTTTTAAAACTTAGCAAGTTAAATGAAATTTCTATCTCTCCAAAACCAATTGAGCGACAGAAAGTTGAGACTTGTTTACGAGTTTTCTGTGATGAAACCGTTGCTGCACTTAAAAATCATCCATCCATTAAAAAAGATGAAGGTATTGGCACCATCAAATTTATTTCTATATTTGTAAAGTTTTGGAAAATTTGCAATGTTAAAGGTGTTGGAGCAGATATTCGTTATAAAGATGAGTACCGTGGAGTTTTAAGATCACACACAGACAAAAGCCTGCTATTCTTATTAGATGTGGCAGATATAGTTGAAAAAATGAAAAAATCAGGCGCAAAACGTATTAAGCAGTTTACAAAAGATACCTCTGAATGTATTTCTCATGTGTGTTGGGGTGGTTCACAACTGATCCGTTAGAGAAAATTTTTCCAAAACTGATCCATTAGAGTAAGCTTCGTCAGGGTTCCGGAGGAACCTATTTTATTACTGCCCAATCTGTCATAGAAAAAGTTAGAATCCAACATGCAAAACTTTCTTTACAGTTATAAATAGATAGTTTTGATGATTGTACCAATGGTCATTCCAGAAGAACTGTTTTCGAAATTTAAATGAGCAGGAGTGCGAAATTTTTGATAACTTCCCAGAACTCAAGGATAAAGTTCAAGCAGAATCATTACTTTCAATTATATATATTGGTGGTTATGTTCAAAGAAAAAATGGCTATGATCAAACTGATACACAATTTTATTATAAAAAATGAGGTGCCTACATTGATGACTTGAATAAAGGAGATCTTGTTATTCCCTTTGACAATATTGTTCAATGGTGCATATTTTGTTTTATTTTATTTGAGCAGTTATCAGATGAAATTTGTGGAACATTTTTGATGAAGCAATTCTTATCGGTATCAAACAAGTTTCAATTTGGTATTTATGACCGTCATTGTCGCACTTTAGCAAATATATCTCTTAAAAATCTAGCAATAATAAAATCTCTAAGATGCTCCAAGGAGTCCAACCAGAAAGTTTTAAAATTGTCATGAAAATGAGTTTTTATTTAAATTTTATTATATTATATAAGAAATATATTATAGTTTATTAACTTTATTGTAGTTTTACTTTTAAGGTAGCTCTTATTTCTTGTTATTGTTATAGGTTTATGCTCTCCTTGTCCGCATCCACTTTACTTATTAGCGCTTTGCTTGGCCTCCAGTCAATAAAAATTTTGGCGCGTTGTCAAGGCCTGTATTTCTAGAAGGCCATGTTACATAGTTATATTATATTTCTAAAATCTGCGCAAATATTTTTTTTATTGTTTATTAAGTTTTGCGTGTTTAATTTCATTTAATATTTTATATACAGTCGTGTCAGTTGCAACAACAATTAAAGCAGCAGGAAACAGCCATGTACGCATGCAAGTGGTAAATTGATTTTTTGTGACATTTTTATTCTTTTAAAATTTAGATTTTTCTAAAATAATAAATAAGTTAATGGCTATTTTTGTAAAGATCATTCTGTAAATAAAAACTGCAGTGTTTTTAAAACTTATAGTTATTTTTTTAGTAATCACAAGATAATCTGCAAACTCTGTACTTTTAAATATGATTCTAAAATAACATGTACAGTTTATCTTGTGATTATGGTACATTGATGATTGGTTCAAGTCTTTAAAGTTTAAATTAGTTAAAAGAGAGTTCAAATTGTTCTGTTTTTATCTTATGCTCTTGATCTAAAAGTTATTGAAATATTTATTGCATTATTTTTCATTTATTTTATTATGTTATGAAAGACCTACCAAGCTTAAAATTTTACGGGTAGAAATATATAGTATGTATATGTATATCATCCCTTGGAATTAGGAAAACAAAAGTCAGCAAAAAAAGCTATAAAACTAGACTAATAAACTTATTTAAAACACTTTTAACAAGTTTAGTTACAAGTTAATGTACCTTCAACAAAATTAGTGTTAACATTTCAGCAAAATGTCATATCGCCAGGCTGTTTGATTGAAAGAACCAAAAGCTTGATATTTTATTGAATTGTTATTTTAGTTTGTGATATAATAATTTTTATTCAAAAAATGTTAAATAATTTACTTTTTAAATTTATTTGTCATTGCTTTGGATAAGATGTTTTCTTATTCCTTTTACAGATTGTTATGAGGATTGCAAAAGTTTTAAATAACAGAAACTGAAGAAGGCATTGATAATCAGCATATAATAAAAAAAGCAAAAGTACTGATTATACAAATCATTTAAAGGTTTCATTTTAATTTGTTAATGTTTATATAGAAACTAATAATATATAAACTGAAAATATTAACATATAATTAATCCATAATTGTGCGTTACTCTAATCTGAATTAGTTTTTGTTTCAATTTCTTTGGAAATTGAAATTAAACATTTTTTCGGTAAAGTAAAATAGTTCTTATTTTTTAGTTGAGGAAGAATTTTAGGTTAATGCTAATGCAATAGGTACGAAAATTCATAGGTTAGCTAATTTGATGTTACAATTAACATGAAATAAAGTTTGTGAAGACCTTAGTGCTAGAAATACTTGCATGCATTAAGTTAAGATTATGCAAGTAAGTTGTCCTACTTTTATATTTGAAGACATAATAATTGTAATATACATATCTCAAACAATATACACTCGGATTTACATTTTAGTTAAACGATCACTACTTCCACAGCCACCTTGTCTCAAGCATTCAATTGCATTCTAAGATATCTTTGTTCAAATCAAGTGTGACTACTATACCAAAAGTCTGTAAAATGGACCAATCAAGTAAGATGTTTAAATTTATATCTTTTATATAGAACTCCTTTACTTCTAAACCTGTTAATTTTATGACTTATGAAGATATATAGCAATGTAATCCTTTTAGGATAGACTTTTTAAAATAAAATTTAAAATGCTTTAGTAAATTTTTATTTAAAATAACTTAGTTATTTACATTATAGCTAACCCATCAGTACTAGCAAAGTCTCTTTTTCTGTTTGCTCGAAAATTGTGTTCTAAAATACCATTATTCACATAACTACTATATCAAAACACAAACTAATGGATTGATCAAGTAATACTTAATTTTTAGCTTGAGTTGCGTGTTAGTACATATATGATTTTGATATATAAATTTTAATTATAATGTTTATTGATTAGTTTTTAACTATAAGAATTTTAGGAATTACAATTTTGTTTTGACATGTTTATTTATATTGCTGTGAAACTGTCGATATCTCCACAACTTTTCAATTAAATAGAATGTTTCAATCAAACAGGATACTGAGTGTGTCTACTGCTCCTCAAGACAATGGCTAATGGGAGTTATCAAACTTTATCTCTCTCTCTCTCTCTCTCTCTCTCTCTATATATATATATATATATATATATATATATATATATATATATATATATATATATATATATATATATATATATATGCTGTACAGTTATTGTTATAAAGTAATAGAATACTATATAATATTGTATTACTATGTTTAGGAAGGGCACTGCAGTTGTCCTGCAGTTATGCAACTTATCAACCCATAACTGCGATAACTACAAGTTTTTTTAATAAGGTTGTTATTATATAAATGTTATATATTATACAGAGTTTTAAATAAATGTTCTTTATGAATTGTTACTATAGTTATAGTACTCAATGTTCACTGTACTAATGTACAATCTTCTATAATCTATAAAATTATGGATTTATAAATGTTATTTGGGTTGTTAAATGAATGATTTATATGAATAGAATGAAGATGTTTATTGAGTTATTTTTATTATTTTTAGAAAAAAGATTGTATGACTTCGGTATCGCAATATGGTATCGTGCATTGGTTCTTATCTTAGAATGGCTCCCTTCCGTATAGGTGGAAATAGGAAAGGTTATGTCTTTTTTTCTAATTCTTAAGACGAAGAGGCTTAATCAGTTCAAGCAAAGATTACAACGATCATTATGGAGCCGATCATGATGACGAATACGATAATGCATATAATAATAAATAAAATGATTTTACTTGTATTTTAGACATAAATAAATAAAAATTTATCTGTTAATGTTTGATTTGTTTTTGAGTATTTAGATAATGCGTTCAGCGTTTAATTTTTCTTTACGGTACTTGTTTAAAGTAGCTTAAATAAACGAAGAGTTTGATTCGTTTATCAGTATTTTTTATTTATTTATGCTTCTTTAAATAAGCGCTGTAAAATAAAGTTAATCGTCGCGAAGTTTAAAACGAAAGATTTAGATGGAGTTTAAATAGCGTTTAAAACGAACCATTTAGATTTGGTTTAAATGGAACATTCGATTGACCTACGTTCTAAATCGAAATTAAATTAAATCTAAACGTTTAGAACGAACATTAACTAAACGTTGATTAAATGTTTGAATGCCCGTTGGGTTAGTTTTATTGATTCCAAACTTATTTAAACACTTTTCAATAATTTTTTTAGTGTATTTCGCCGTTTGTTTTCCCTTCGTATCTATGGTGTCAAGATTGATTACAACAATTTCATCATTGTTCGAGTATTGCGCATTTATACCAAGGTAGTGGCGCATATGCCTTGATGTAGAATTGACTTTTAAATAAATTAACATTTTTGATATTTTAGTTTTGATTTGTTCGCGATGCTTTTTGGCAAGATCGCTAATTTGAATTCTCATATTATCTCTATTCATTTTAAATCCATAATGAGATGCAACTTTTCCGCAAAGCTATTGAATAGGTTCTCGATCAAACGCCTATAGAATTTGTTTTTAGAATAATAAATGTTTTTTAAAAATTCGCAAAAAAAACATAATTTTTTAAAATGTAATGCAGCTAAGACTTTTTTTGAAATTAAAAAATAAATATTAAAGAAAAAATAATTTGAACCTGGAATGAAAGTCCTTCAACCAAAACCAGCTTGTTTAAGGCTTCTAAAAATTCATCTTTTGCTATATGCAAGTTAATTTGCTGCGGTACAAAACTTTGGTGACTATATTTTTTTGGTTCTTATTCTTTTCTTCTAATATTTTCTCTAACTTTTCTTTTTCTAACGTTATGAGGAGCTCCGCGTGTTTTCTAGATAAGTGTCGTATAAGGTTGCTAATGCAAGCTTTTGCGGCACATGTAATTTCTTTACCGCATAACTCGTTACTTTTATTTTTTTCGGGTACAAGACATTTAAAGCATACTACTTTACATCCATTCAAAATTTTATTTGTACGATGAAAATGTCTGTAGATTGTATCTGATGCATAGTTAGTGGCCATTACTGGTCGAGATTGTTGCACACAAATATAAAGAAAGAATGTGGTATTGTGGTTTATCCTCCTCCGGCTAGTTGCCATATAGAGGCCACACTACCACGGTACCGCAAAGACAGGTTCGGCTCCCCAAGGAGCGTCATAACCCGCTCTACGGACCGAGAGTAAAGTGAGTTTAGGAAGAACGAAGATATGTTAGAGTGAAAGACAGAAGTAGTCGTGTTAGAAAGACAGCATAGAGAAAGCGGGCAGGATTGCACTCGATGTTAGGAGGTGCAATAAGTTGACATTGGGATTAAAAACACAATGACTAAAGAATGTTTTTATTGCAAGTTATTGTGAACTTGTAAAGTATTTGTTTTCTGTTATATATGCTTCACAAAATTAATTATTTTTATAACAACCCACGAAAACATAGTTAAGAAAATCGTTAACATGACTAGTTATGAATTGACGACGCTGTTAAAAAAAATTTTGTAACATGTTTCCTGGTATTATTTCTAATATGTCGAATTAAATTAATAAGATTTAGGAAAAAGCATTAAAACTAAAAGCAAGTTTTTTCGTAAAAGGAGTTGTTGCGCAAAATTATTATTTATTGGCTGAGATATTTATATAAGCATCTTTGGGCTTCTTTATGACATAGTAGGTTTTTTACCGATTGTCTAGCTCGTTAGTTTGACTTTATAGCGCAAACTTACAGACAAATTTGGTTTTTTGTTGCATGTCATTAATTTGTTAGTTAAATTTGGTAGCTTTCGTATCTAAACCATAACGCTTTCATTGCAATTTTTCAGAAGGCGTTATTAAAATTAGAATTTTCATTTTGTTTAGCAATGTACAAAATGAACATAATTAGCCATAATATATTCCATGACTAACGTGTTTGTTAAACTTTATAAGTAATAGAATAAGAAAATGTTGAATTATACGCATTATTTTCGGCAAGCTACATAGTTTGTGTTCTTACAAGTTAAAAAACAATATACGCTACTATGTTTTTATATAAAATAGTTTTATTGCACTTTTTAAAAGTTTTCTTTATTCTCTTAACAAGCATTTGTCGTGTGACGTTTCGCATATCGCCATTTGTTCATCCTCAAATTTAAAATGTTATCTAAAAAATAACTGCATATAAGTAGGGAATTACGAAACGTACTTAATCTGGCCAAATGAACGAAACTGGTAAGGAAGGAGGTGAACTTCCAGGTTAAGTGCTCTTCTGCAGTGCTTTGTGACAAGACCATCAGGTTTTTTTTTAAGCATATAAATAACTAAAAAAAATAAAAAAAGAGTCTCGGAGACCTAAAATTGTTATGGACTCCCGAGACTCCGGACTCCAGGCTAAAAGAGGGACTCCATGGACTCCGACTCCGGACTCCGCATCCCTGATATGAACGGTTACCATATAAAATATTTTCTGTATTTAAGAACCGTAGCCATTTTAAAAGTTCAAAAGTTTTCTTCTTACGCATGCGCACATTATTTTTAAACTTTTTGAGATATTTCATTATAACTTGTCCTTTAAAAAGTAAGAAACCCGTCTGAATATACAATTTACCAATAATCTTTTTAAATGAAAATACCTATATCTTAAATGCATTATAACAACATTTCCATTATTTAATTTCAACCAAACCCGACTAATTATAACTAAAAATATAATTATGAAACTATTAAAATATTGTTATGAAATATAATATATATTATAATATTGTTATAATAATTGTTGATAATAATAGTTATGTGATCATTGCATAATACAATCACTAATTATTCAAATGTAATCATATATTAAATTTAAGATTATTATGATATATATTTCTATTTTAACATATACTTTTTATTGTGTTATCTATTATAAATTTATTATATATATATCATATTATTATGTTACATTTTATGCGATGTGTTATATCAAAAGAATATACATTAAAAATTTAATCACGCTCTGCAAATTTTTCCTAAATCAATTATATATTATTATTTACTAAAAATCACCGGATATGCCGTTTAGAAAATAAAAATTAGAAATCTGTAGCAGTCTGGTTTCGAAATAAACACAACAAATAAATATATAAAAAAAACAGGCTGTTATAGAAAACTGAAAGATAAAAAAAGAATTGACGAAGAATTAACTCGATTTAATACTACACAAGTTCATTTTTGATACATAAAATTGTTGCTCATACCTTAAAGGTGTAATTAAAGATTGCAAAATGAACTTGTCTCGTTATAAAATTAAGCCAACCATTTCGAAAGCTTTTGGTGCAACATAAATTGCAGAATAACCAATGAGAGTATACGTGATAAAAAGATACGGAATAACAAATATATGGTCAGCTTTCCTGTCTGTGGTTTTGCCATCTTCGGAATTCATGAAGTTAAAAAAACTATGAATCAGTGTTTTTAAACAAATTTTAATGGGCACAATGATAGCTACACCGATAATAAATCGAGATGCTCCAAACAAAACCCACGGTATAAATCCACTTGAGAACATTGCAACTGGAGCATTTTTGTACGGCTCCGGTAATGGAACTTGATCAATGTAATACATATTCCATGCAGCTAAAGTGCAACCACACCCTACACAAATTATTCGTGCAGTATCATTGCGTGTTTCCATGCATTGTGTGGGAAAAACATATATCATAAGCATTGGAATAATTAAAATAATAATCCAAGCATTACTAGATGCCAGAAACATCTCTAATGTTATATCCAAATATGGTAGCCATAATGCAGTTACAAAAAATGCTACAGAAATCCCAGCAACAATGTCCTTAAAAAACAAATATCCATTAAATTTTATTTGTATGCATTTAGCATTTTATTATTATTATTAATATTATTACTATTATTATTTTTATTAGAATAAAGATTTCAATATATTTCTTTTATTATTGAAAATGTAAAAAGTATTAACGTCATTTTATCAAAATTGTATGTATATAATGTAAATGTATATTTATATTATACACAATAGAGCAAAGTGAGATTAAGTTAACTATTCTTGTTTTATTCTAATTTTCATGCACCCATGCAACCTTTATCTTTTTAAGTCTTCTGTCAATTGTTTCCTTGCTCTCTAACATTAGTTCTTCTTTTTTTAGTAACTTCCAACTAAATAGTGGTTGCTTGTAGCATGGTTAGGAGTGAATTAGTACGAAAAAAAAAAAAAAAAAAAAAAAAACTAGAGACAAAATGAAATTTTTCTAAAAAATAATAAAAATACTAGATATACTTATTACACAGGTGTACCAAGTTTTTTGCATTCAAATTTTAACATTTCTTAAGACAAGGCAACAACTTAAAACCAAATATAAATATTTCAGAAATTTATTGTTTATGTTTTGAAATGTCGCCTTTTTTAAATTTCATTAGTTTTACACATCAAACAAAACTATAGAACCTCATGTAACTTAGTTTAAAAGAGTTGTGAAATTTATTTTGCTAACTTCTTGAGTTAGCTATATATAGTTATTATGTGTATAATAATTTGAATGACTTTCTATAACTTTTTGAATAATACAATTTTAATTTTGTGTTTTAGTGTAATAACTATTTCTCCGTTAATTCATTGCAATCAACAAATGGGGGGCATAAAACTGATCCTGACAACGTCGGTTATGTATGTGGACAATTTGTTAACGGATCAAGGCAAAAGTTCACTGGTTGCAGGTGCAAGAAGCCTATTAGAAGCATTTTGTAACACTGCCATTAAAACAGAAAACAAATTATTTTGGCTGTGCCAATTAAACCTTAGTAGATGTCCAAAAAACGTCTTGCCATGCTTATTAAATACACAGACTTAAAGAAAAAGCTTACAGCAGTGATGGTTCGAAAAATCAATGAGCGAAGTAAAAAAGTTATTGCTTACTTTTAGAAGTCTGATGACTTTGTTTTTTTTAATACTATAGAAGACTTGTTGGGGTATCTTGAGGCCCATTACACAAGTAGTGATTAGTGCCTATTTATTGATTCTTCAACAGCAAGCCTTAATTATGTGTAACTAAAATCTGTTAAACTTCATCATGGGATCAAATTTTGGATATGCCAAATATCTTTGCTTTTTTTATATGTTTAAATCCAGACAGAGTCAACTGGATTTTAATTCTACTCATAAAGGGCCTGCTTGTGTTAATTTTGATAAAGATCCTTTGGTAACTCTTGAGAAGATTTCAATTTACAGAAGTATGTTAAAGTATTGGATAAAGAAATTGATTGCTTTAAATTCATTTACCAAGTTATTAAGAAAATCAAAAGCAAAGTTAATAAATGGTGTCTTCACCATTTGGTCTTAAAATTAGACTTCTTATGAATGGATTTGATAGCATGATGATAGATTTACAGCGTACAGCATGGTTTAACTTTTGTTGCTTGACAAAAGAAAAAATGTTACATAAGACTGAAAACAAAAAGGAGACTTATTAATGCCTAAATTTCAAGCAATGGGTTGTCCAACTGTAAGCAATAGAATGTACCTACTATTTAAGGGTAAGTACAAATGTGAGTCAAATGAATGTGAGTTTTTCAAATGAACACGGTAAAAGACTACACAAAGTCGACCGTATTTGGGCCCAAATTAAAATTTAAGGACCTTGTTTTTTTATCTATGTTTTTTATATACATGTATGTATATGTATATATATATATATATATATATATATATATATATATATATATACATATATGTATATATATATATATATATATATATATATATATATACATATATGTATATATATATATATATATATATATATATATATACACAGTCCTCGGAATTAGGGTTAGCATTCAGTGATGCCAACCTAACTCTTATATATATATATATATATATATATATATATATATATATATATATATATATATATATATATATATATATATATATATATATATATATATATATATATATATATATATATATATATACATATATATATATACATATATATATATACATATATATATATATATACATATATATATATATATTAACTTAGTTATTAAATCTCTATTTACTCTTTAATTGAATAATACTTATGAAGCATCCTTTAAGACAATTTCATTTAGTTCATGTTTTCATTCATTTAGTTAAATTTTTTATCAAAAAAAGAACTTATTTATTTGATCAATCTGCTATAGTATCTGATAAATTAACTCTGAAGTTTATAAAAGTTCTTTTTCTAAAAAACATCTGAAATTTATAAAAGTTCTTTTTCTCAGAAAAAAAGTTATTATGTACTAATAGATGTATAATGTGTAATTAACAATTAATAGTTCAACTAACAATATTCCTCAAAACCCTTCAAATATCATAAGCGTTGATAAAACTAATGCTGTTGAAAAATTACTTTCACATAGAGAAATTTTAAAATGCAAGAAAAATTCTTTATGTACAAAAAATTCAAGTACTTTCACACTAAGACCAAAGTCATGACAAAAACACTCAACTATCTAAATCAAATGGCATTTTCAGAAGAAAAGAAGGCAAATAGCAAATAATGGAAATAGTAAAAAAAAAAATAACAACAATAAATATCTGTACACATAATGACACATAAAAATAACATAAATTTTTTAAAAAGCTATAACTGCAAGTTATTAGGATTTCTTAAACTAAAATCTCCTCAAACTAAAATATTTCAGTTTACCCTATTAAAAATGATCATTTAAAAACTTATTGAATAAAATATTGCAAATCACAGTAAAAATCTTTTAATTACAATCTTAATTTAGTACTGGGCACTAAATTGGGGAAAATGTTCCTTAAATATTATAAGATATTATACTGTGCAAAATACAAATAGATTAATATAATGAACAAACACTAAAAGTAAAGAAATAATCAACATTTTTATCAAATCCCAAAAATGCAATCTAAAACCAAAAATCTATGATGTAAGAAGTAACTACAGATTCTCAGCTACAGTTTGATACTCAGGATTTAAAGTCATAAGATGCTTTATTAAAAATTAAGAAGTGAAACATTTTAAGATTGCAAACTTAGTTAAGACTAAAAACATTTTCTAACAAAAAAAAAACCTCAGTAATTATAAAAAAGAAAATAAAATCAGTTAAATGATGCTCATTCACCTATTATTTGGCATATAAAATTCGCCAAATGGTCACACAAGAGCAGTGAACGCCTGAGGAAAGAAATACATTAGAATAAGATACAAATGAAGATTAATAGAGGAATATTTAAAAATAAATAAGACAGACAATGCACCTAAAACAGTACTTAACAATAATAATAATAAAATTGTTTTATAAACACTAATATGAAAGAAGATATACAACAAATATATCACCAGACAAAAAACTTATAAAACAAAAAATTGATTACAAAATAAAAAGTATGCTAACAACAATGGAAGGCCTCAGAATGGAAAAAAAATATTAATGCTAATGTGTAAACATAATTTGAGCAGTGATTAAGTAATAAACATATCCTCAGAGTCGCATCTATTACTGGCGTTTTGATGAGGATCAGCATTTATAACTAGTTTATGCCGTCAGATAAATGCCATGGCTACTTATACTTTACCCCGCAACTTACGCCTTATCCATACTGCAGTAAAACTGCAATATGAATAAGGCGTAAGTCACGGAGAAAACTGCAAGAAAACATGAAAACACAATAAATTAAAATTCTAATAGACACATAAAAATACTAATAAATTTATTTTAAGATATAAAACCAAATTATTAGCATAAACAAGCCCAAGATAATCAGAAATCAAAAATTAAAAAAATTTGTTTTACCACATAAAAAAAAAAAATTTAAATCAACAATACAACAATAACCTTAAATAAACACTGTCACTGAGAAACCTTATTTGAAATATGATCACCAATCCAAAGTGTAGGAAAATGAGCAAACCGCGAAACCCAAAACCATAACAATAATTGAATAATATATGATTGCAAAAAAAAATCGTTGCACAAAAACCTCAAAAATGTCACCGGCATAAATGTAAACATTTAATGAAGGATATAAAAAAATTCTCTGAATAATAATAAAAGATGAAAATTGTGCATGTGAGAATTAAAACAAAGTTGAGTAATAAATTTTATTACATTATTTAGTAAGGACCAACTAAATAATGTAATAAAACCAGATAAATTAAGGCAAATGAGTGGTTAAAAAATTAGTTGTGGGTAATATAACAATGATATAAGTCGCGATATAAAAACGATGTACAAAGCGGGAAAAAATACTGTTAAAGAAGTAAAGTCTTAAAAAATTGTTAAAAAGAAAACAAAATCAATTAAATGACGCTCATTCACCTATGTATCTCTCAAAATTATGTCTAACAATAGTAAAGTTTGTAAGTACCTTGTAAAACCTATCAATCTAAACTTTTTTATTAACTATGCAACAAAAAAATAGTACACTCAATATTCATCAGATATTGTATCAGAAGCAAAGGACTATTGATAAAGTGCAAGATTCATTTGATGTAATCATCTTGTATTCTTGTCTAAATTAAAAAAGCTACAAATATTATGATGGAAATACAATCAAACAATAATGAGCACATATCAAAAAACTCAACCTATTTTAAATAACTCAAGATTAAACCTTGCCATAAAAATTGTTATTTTATGAAAAAGGTCCAATCAGATTCTCTTTTGTCATATCAGAGGCATAATTCATAATTCAGGTTTTTACAGTATCCTTAAAACTGCTAACCTTTTATTTACAAGCATGATGTTACATCATTATGATAATGAAATATTAATGTTTTTATATTACTAATAAAACCAATC